GCCGGCGGTTAAAAAATTATCGAGCTGGTTGTTTTCCCCGTGGTGCTTTATGAGATTCCTGCCTTGATTTGCACCTTGGACTCTACTATGTTGCCATTAACAGACTCAGCTAAACGCAATAGCACGCCATTTTTTATTGCTAAATAACCGGTAACACTGCTGGGGCCGCACCTATTGTATATGCGTGGGGGTAACACTAATAAAATGCATCGCCTCTTGGAGGATAGCAGACCATACTTCGTGCAGGTCTTTTATAGGTCCTTTTTACGTGCGGGACGCTCCAAAGGGTTGGGAGCATTGCATTTAATCTCACAAGTGCATCTCATCAATAGAGCATGCCTGCGCGCCACGAGGTAGTATAATCTTTTGCTGGCGCTCCGAAGACATGTGCATGACAGCTGCCAGGTGATTAACCATTTCGTGTCATTCCTAAACGCGCGATTCGACTGCGAGCATATTTCCGACAGCTGTTAAATCAGAAACAGCTGAAAAGTTATAGCGGGAAGGCCGCGAGCAGCGCGCTTCACCCAGCAGCCGGGAAGTGTCGGCGATATCGCCGCGATCGTCCACCGTCCAGCCGCCTGACATGACTGAGGTGGCCGCCGCAGTGAACGTCTGGGTGTCGGCGGTCGGCCGACCGGGCCAGGCGCAGCTGTGGCAGTGTCGGCAGGCGGTGCTCGATCAGCAGCCGGCGTCGGATGACCGGCCGCCGGGCGTCATCAGCCGGCAGGACAACGCGGGTGAGGCGCCGCAGAGCTGTGATAGTGGGCTTTATGCAAACCTATGATTAGGACCTCCCTAAGGAGGTGAAGCGCGCTGGGTGAGGACTGTAGCCGTGGCAGCTGGCGCCTCTGGAGCCGCGTTGTGTGCCAGTCTGCTGCTGTGCAGACCCGCTTCTGGCGCCTTCGGAGCCGTCCTGGGTGCTGGAGACCCGCTGCTGGTGCCTCTGGAATCCCCCTGTATACTTGAGACCCGCTACTGGCGCCTCCGGAACCGCCCTGTGTGCTGAAGACTTGCTGCTTGCGCCTCTGGAACCCCCCTGTGACTTGCTCTGGCGCTTCTGAATTGCGTTGTGTGCTGCAGACTCGCTGCTGCCTCCTCTGGAACCCCTCTTAGAGCAGGAGATGGAGCTGGATGGCGAGCAGCGGCCGCCCAACCTTGACGACAGATGAGCCACGGCCGCGGCAGGCCTGCCACCTGGCGGAGACGTCTGGAGCCAACGTCCCCGTCCGGCGGTGGGCTCGGCACCGAGAGTGGTGGTGGTGGCGGGAGCGCCGTACCCGACTGACGCAGCTCCGTCTCTGTGGCTGTAGCGCTCGAGACGCATTGAGTTCGAATTTGTAAGCGTAGGAAGGGAAAGCGCCCGGAAGCAGCTAGGATTGAGTTTTGTCAAGTGATAACCATCCAAATGGGGATTGTGTCGCTTCCATTTATGCTACAGTGTTTAATGTCCTGTTATCTACCACTGCAGTGTGGGGCAATCCAGCAATGTCTTATCCAGATAAATATTAGCCATTGTTCCAGCTAGTGTGGCGCAAGAGCCAGCCCAACATAACTCACGAGAAAGTGAAAGCGATACAGACGTTCCATGTTCGTTACAGAAAGTTCCACTCAAGCATAAAACAGCTCTAAAGTTAAACGACATCGGACCTCAAACTACGTACGCGGGTTCATTGCAAGCAAAAAACGCCCAGCACCACTTCGAGACGCTTGGTAGTGGAGTGTGCCAGCAGTATATTCGGATGAAATTAAGGGGAACACGCTTTTAAATATATTTATGTGTTACGCCAGCAACACAACGTAACAAATTTGTAGAGAAGACGCAACATTACCTCACCAACCAGTCAGCATTAGCTCTTGGGGCTGATTATTATTGCCTCTTTAAAAAGTGCACTTAGTTACCGAGCAGCGTAGTGAGATTTCTTTGCGCTGCAAACCAAACCCTCCATTTCGATTTCGAAATAATTCGAATCCATGATGTTGTGCCCTCATTATTGTAACCCTCACGGTGGCTCCCCGTTTCAGAGCAACGCCTTGATTCATTTAGCCTATTATCATTAAACAAAATCTTGCCAATCTCCGCAGCATCCTCAGCATGCGTTGAAGCGTGTGAAATAAACAAAATTGACAAGCCCGGAAAAGGTCACTTCGCCACGTTCTCCACCTTCGATGTGAGATGGAACAAACGAAATCTTGCAAGAACATCCAGACAATTGCATTTGGCACTCGATTAAGCAGTAAATGGCCTCGTAATAACGACATCGAAATCGGTATCTGAAGGTGGTATATTCCTGTATTCCTGATGTACCGAGTGAATTAGCATATCCTAAACAAGTAAACATGATTTGATAGATAAAACACGCTAAACGGCCGCATTCCAATCATTTTTGACAGCCGAGAACCGTCCGATTTCAAGTTTCTGATTCAGCTTATCAATTCCAAGCTTACCTGATCAATGCAGCTAAGATGATAGCCGAGAACAGTCCGCTGTGAAGCTTCTAATTCAGCTCATCAATACCAAGCTTACCTGATCAATACAGCTAAGATGATAGCCGAGAACAGTCCGCTGTGAAGCTTCTAATTCAGCTTATCAATACTAAGCTTACCTGATCAATACAGCTAAGACGCATTACTTACGGGGCATTACCACCCTTTGCGTTGCCAGCTCCCTATCATGCTCACCCGAGAAAATGCACACGACCCAAATGACAGTTATGTTTTTAAAAATTGCCACATTACCGAGTCACATGCGCAACTTTACCACGCAGCTTTCAGAATGCACCGGCATCCAACAAGTAGGAGCATTCATACTTTACAAGGAGCAAAGCAGCAGCTCAATAGTTCAAAAATGTTTCGGTTAGCATTCACTGAAGTAATGTTAAGCCTCCGAGCACCCACGCGGGCAATTCCTTTCACTGCAGCTCGTATGTACACAGACATTAGCCGCTGGCGAGCGACGTTGAAACGAGCTCGCTTGTATTGTGCATCAATACGTATGGGCCGTTCGATGCTCTGCGCTGCGAGTTCTCGGGAAGTGACTTTCGGCGGAACGTGCGCAATTTCCTCCTCCTCCCCTGCAGTCTAAATCTCCAGCTTGTGTGGACAAGCATAGTGTTGCCCAGGGGCGTAGTCAAGGGAGGACAGAGCCTTCTCCAATCTAATGCGCTTAAACATGCATGTGAATAAGTTTCGCAATTAAAAAACAAAGTATAGATAAAGATAAACAGATTCCAAATGTTCATTGTTGCTATACACCACGCCACAAATTTCACACGCCTTTTTTTTTACAAAACTTGGCATCCATCGCCACCACGAATCGGAGTCGAGCCACGTTGAGCCACCGAAAACGCGTTGCTGCTGATCTGTGACGTCATCCCACTGTGGCTGGCTGGGGGATGACACCACAGATCGACACAAGGAGGGGGGGGGGGGGGGGCTGCTCTGGGCTCGTTCGAGAGTGAGGGCTTGACGCGCGGACCGAGGGCCGGCTTTTGCCCGGGCGGCGGCGCGCTATGCCGGTGTGGCTGCGTGTGATAATGACACGTAACGCCTGACCATGTAACGATCAAATACACGAGCAGACCGAACTCGACGGCCTGTGCGCGAGTGTGACCAGCGCAAGAGCGCCCGGCCGGCCCGCCGGGGTAGAGCGTGCCGGCGGCGGCGGCTGGCAGCCAGGTCAACCCTCGCACGCGCTGGGAGTACCGCCCCGCACCTGCCCGACACATCGGCCAACACGGACGCCGCTGACGTGCAGTGTACGCGTGAACCCTCGCCCTGACTCGCCATCTTCCGCAACACGGTCTGATGAGCAGGGGGGGGGGGGGGGAGGGGATCGATGCGACGCTCTGCCATTTCCAAACTAAAAGAGATACATTTTAGCGGAAGAGGAGGGGCGAATTAGCCTCAGCGCGATAAGATTATCTTTCCATGTTGCAACATCAATAACTAGCCCAATTATGCCAGGTCAGAGGTCATATGTTCCCCAAAATCGAGCTTTGTCAGCTTTACATGTTCACATGTACGAGACAATGCCTCAAGGCGGCATGAGACCTGGCGAGGTGTGTTCCTCGTCCAATTCTGAGTACAATGGTGTATAGCTGTGTGATTTCAATATATGCTTATGATGTATGGCTCCGTTGAAGAATGTTCCATATCTGTATGGGATCTTAACTGAAATAGCCGTCTTAAAGGATCACTCATTGCAGTTCACAGCCCTGCTCATCTTGAGACCTAAATCGCTCTAGTTTCTGGGCTATACGCCCACGAAGACGTGCAGACTATTTCAAGGTCACCCAGCACTAATTACATCATAATAACGTCATTCAAATCTTGTCATTGCATTGGCAGTGTGGCGATCGTGGTCAAGCAAAATCTAATCGTAAATGCGTTCGTATCTGACGTGCGTGAGCACGATTTCCAAAACAGCCAACCATTGGCCCTCAATGTTATGCAAGGTACGACGACGTAACCAAAGAATGACGCAGTGAGAAGCACATTTACTAAGTAGAGAATTTGTCTAAGGCGACCCCATCCATTTGGTACACCAATGGCTATAAGTGAACTTCTTCATCATATCTGATGTTCGCTTCAATTTCTTCAAATATGGAACAAGCTCTTTAATGCAACAGTGCCGGCCCACCGTGGGCGTTCCCCGGAATCGTCGCCTGTCGCCCACCGCACGCGCCGCACTGTTTTAAGCCGCTCATCAGCGGGGGGGGGGGGGGGGCGGGGGTCCGGTAGTGATTTAGGTTCTTAACATCGCTTCAGCCGCTGTGGTCATTTCACGCCACACACATATTTTGATAAGCTTGATATCAAACACGCGCTGAGTCCTCAGACACCATTTTCGAATGCATACCAGGGGCACTAGCTGGCACTGGTCATTTTCGAGATCGCTCAGACACTGCGCACTAGCCCAGCGCTAAAACGACGGCCATGAAAGGCAGCTTGTACTCGCAGCGGCCGTGAGCGGTCACAAAGCAGGTGAAAAAACGGACCGCCGTCTGACACAGTATGTATATTTCTGCACTCTACTCGTCATCTTCCGACACTCAAACGCAGAACAAAAGCCGGTACAAAGCCATGACGCGATGCAAAAATGGATGAGGTCACCTCGAGAATGAGACCGCGAGACCGCGTGATGCAGGAAGCCGACCAGCTGGCCAAAGGACCAGAGCACAGCAGATCCGCCGGCCGGCCGCGGTCACCCGGCTGAGCGGTAGTCCCGGCCGAGCGGCAGGCCCGGCCAGCAGCGCCAGGCCAGGTCGAACGGCGGGCCCGGCTGGCAGCCTACATGCCGGCCCGCATGGGCGGCGACACCAGGACCACGCCGTCGCCGCGAACGAACAGCATGGGGATGGTGCGCTTGGTGGTCTTGTGCACCTCCTCGTACGTCTCCTCGTCAATGTCGACAGTAGTCACCGTCTCCTCCACGTCGCCCAGGATCATGTTCAGGTGCTGATCGTACGCCTGGCGGCACAGCACGCGCATCACACGTGCCAATCGCGCCACTGAGAACGGACCGATCGACACTCAGAGCCGCAGATCATGCGGCACGGGCGCAGGAACAATTTCAAAGTTGCTGGGCAGTAGGGGGGGGGGGGGGGGGGGGGCACGACAAACCACCTCCCTCCATTTTTTATCTCCCAAATTCGGCCACTCCATTTTCAAAGTTAGCGCAAAAGGTGATGTTTCATTGACATATTCATGATTGACGTCAACACGTTGCAGCTCATGCGGCGATGTCCTGTGGCAGTGTCCAATACAGATGGCGCCACTGGCCCTATTTCCCTATATTTGTAACATTTTCGCTTTACTTGTATGTTGTTTGTACAGATATGCTACGACCTTATTTAGCATTTCATTTACAATGATAGCGTACAGCATACGTTATCAGCAAACGGTGTCCTCAAACATGTCCATCATCATGTCCCCAACGCCGCCCTCTTTCACAATCACAATACTTAACAAAGCAAACAATGATGCAGGAAATGCCGGAAATCTTAAACTGAATTCAGCTCTACTCGTTCACTTTGTTTTGAAGTTGATCATGAGCTGGCAGGATCTGGATCATGCCGGACCATGAGCTGTCACGATTTGGATCATGCCGGATCATGAGCTGTCATGATGAAACACTTCGCCATTACCTACCGCGTCTCCAGTTATTTTTAGCAGTAACTATGCGTTTCTAGTGCAGAGACCCCGCGTTAGGGTCCCTGCCATAATAACGCGAATAACCTCTGCACTCTCTGTCATGACTGACACTAACGTTCACCATTAGTGCATTGCTAGCCACTGCAGTGATCGTTTTGGTCTGAATGGCGATGGTCCCCGAAATATCGTGACAGAAATGGTATGCTGTTTCATCCCAGCTTTCGCCATTACGGTTGCTTTCAGCATTTAGTCGTGATGCTCAGCCAGCCCAGACCATGGGTCCATTTATTGACTTCCACAAAAGATCAACAAATAGATTAACGTAAGTATACAAATTTTCTCCGTATTGCCACACTTAACATTTAATGAAGAGCATCAGTAATTAACTCATGGGTTGCTTTAAAATCACGTGACCTTTTCCAAAACAAAAGGAGTATGCACATTACCAATAAAACTCCCTGCAAAAGTGGAGAGGTCTTATAGTAAATGGCCAATGCAGTTGACACGCCCTTAAGCCCAATGACTGACTAAGGGAGCAATGCTCAATATTGCATATTACCATTCATTCAGCAGGTGGATGTCATGACATATTACCATTCATTCAGCAGGTGGATGTCATGACACACCGCACTGGGAGGCCTCCACGTGGCCTCCATAACTAAAATGGCAAACCACACACAATCACAAGCTCTCTGAGAAAGTGCGAACACGCCGTTTGAAAAAGATGTCAAAGGCAATCGAAAATCGAACATACCGCACGGCTACCAAAAACAAACTCGCGCCTCTGCACTGCTGTCAGTCATATACTTACATGTAGGCGGCCCTTCAGCTCCCGTTCGTTACGCATTTTCACCTTGATGCGTTCATCCAGGCTGAGCTTGATCAGGTCCAGAGGTTCCTCTACTGTCACCGTAGGCGCCTGGAAAACCAAACGCGTCAGATGGTCATGCATCAGATATTGTCTTATTCAAGTACAGCTCCAACGAACCCATTATCACTGTAAATGATCTGTAGCTTAACATGCCTACGTATCGGCAAATGGCTTCAAATACGCAGAGAGGTGAGACACATGACAGGCGTGGCGACGAAGCCAGGTTCGGCTTCAGCCTCGGCTTTGCCTAGCGGCAGTGCTCCTCCAATGGCCTGGTGCCCGGCTTCAGTTGTGGGCCTTTTCACGGCTTCTGTCGGCTTCGGCCTCTGCTTGGTGCCATTTTAAAAGATTTGTGTTCGCCTCGACCTCAGTTTTGTCGTTTTTCAAGAGCCGACTTTGGCTTCTGATTCGAATGCCTATTTCTGGCTTCGGCTATGGCTTTATGGTCGCTTTTTAACTGATCTTAACCTGTCTTGGTGCAATTGCCTTAACGTATCTTAAATTGCTTGTTTTGGCTTTGAAATGAATATTTTTAAGTGCTGCCCTTTTAAGTGCTATACTTCCGGAAAACGGTCGAACTGTCATCCCCATATACCAGACAGGTTTTCGAGACCGCCCCGCATAATTGCTGAAGGCCAAACATTCTCCGGACCAATTAACACTTAACCCCGATCCGAGAATTACTGTGCGAAACGTTATTTGCATGCAAACACGCAAGAAGAGGATGGAGGTTCGAAAACGCCATCGGTAATAACGAAACCTCGCCTTAATCACTTCGCAAAGCCTTAGCGTCTTCCTACCCTGCATATATGCGCAAACTGACATTGTGCGCCAAATTCGGCTTTGACTGCTGCTTTCATCATTTTAAACTGCTTGGTATGGCTTTGGCTTCGCGTTTCCCAGCCGCTGACTTCGGCTCTAGCTTCACGCGTTCGAACTTCGAGGACACTGGTTACCGAATCGACTTTGCGGTTCAAACACGGAGGTCATTGGCTTCCGTTTTTGCTTTGTGTCCTAAACTTAAAAAAAACACCAGCCTGCAATTCCACTTCAGCTTCATGCCATTACCTTAGCTTTGGATTTGGCTCTGGAGTCAAAAGCTTAGCATCATCATGAAGCCTAACAAGTAGACTTAAAACTGTAACATTTATTAAGGTCTGTTGCTGCTGGTGCTTGGAGGATGGCATTGCACCTCCCATAAGGAGTCACCCCTTTGTCACTCCCTTCTGCACCAGCACCAGTATGTGCCTGATCTGCTGAGGATCAAGGGATGCCATGCTCAAGAAGAAGCAATTTTACAAATTCTTGAAAAAATGGTAAGGACAATTCATTCTCATTTGTGTCAAGCTGTCTCACATTCAGTTCACTTACTCCCTCTCCTCATAAGCAAATGATAGCATTCATAACTTGCTATGAGATGATAAAAACATAACTTTAAAAATGATAGCTACACAAACCATGCTGGTACTAGCTGGAAACAGGGAATGCTACCTAGGCATATCTACATTCAAGCTGGCCATGTTGGATGGCCCAAGTGCCTAACCTGCTCATCATCAGCCATGTTGAGCTGTAATAAACCTGGAAAAGAGAATGCAAATTAGATCAAACTTGGAATAGCAAGGGTAAAAATGATGGGAAGCAATTTAGTACCATCAACAGATTTCATTTGTAAAATGTGCACCATGAACACTCAGGAAAGACAAGACAGACAAGGAGTAGGGTAATGCTGACAGCTTCTCAACCTGCATACAATCTTTTTCTGAAAGATGTAGAGGCAATGAAGTACCTACAGAAGGTAGAGGCTATACTAATAGGTGACAATCCCAGCATGCTGCAATCCATTCATCTAGACATTGGATGGTTGTCATCAGCATGGAATACCCATACATTTTAAAAGATCTCTGCCCACATGTGGAGCATCAAGGTTACCATAATTCATTTTGCGCTCATGAGCATCAGTCTTTGCATCTCAATGCAAGACCAAAATTGCTATTGGGGAACTACCCTGGACTTGATGTACAGCTATACTGAATGTAACTGACATATCAGGTGTATTTTTTCACCTTAATGACATGAAGCTGCCAGCTTGCAACTAACCAATGAGTCAGCCCATACTCTGGATGATAAGCTGCAGTATTGCCTCCCACAAAAGAGCACTCAATCCTGTCCAGTGAAAAAATCGTGTTTAACAGGTGATCAAACTTAAGTGACTGAAATGCATTAACTAAAATGATAGTGAATTCATATCATTTATGAAATACATCTTGATTACGGAACAGTGGAAAGGAAACTTAATGAGTAGATGCGCTGAGTCACCAAGGCAAGTTATATAACATACATTTTGTACAAATAGACACAAAACTTTCTTGCCCCAAAAAAGGAAACTTTTCGAAGACTTCAGCGAGATGCATGCAATGTGACAAGGCCCTTCCCGTAATGCACGGTCTGAGGTCTCTTAGACGAACGGGGCGTGAGAGCGTGGAACTATTTAGAACGGGGGTAATGCGAATGGAACCACAGACCCACAGATACCTTACAACCTGTGGAAACAAGTCAAAATACCGGCCAACAGAGCCACCCCCCACCAACGCACTTCGTACGTACTACTGCCAAACGCCAGCAAAATGCATTAAATGAAACAGAAACCGGGTGCCACGGATTGCAAACGACGAGCCAGAAGTGTACAAAAATGTATATGGTAGCTAAAGGAGTATGTAGAGGGCAAACTAGAAAAAGAAAGGAAAAGTGAAATGCATGAACGTAGTTTTGTGGTTTATGTTAACAGAAAGTTATTCCTTTTTCAATCAATCTTAAAAGTCTTCAGAGATGGCCATACTAAGCCATTAAATGTCACAGATAAATGCTTCCCGTAGCAAGTAATGTAATTTTCTCAAAAATTTATGTACCTTATCATTTTGAAAGGACTACAAATATGACGCAGTACATCCAGTTGTGAGCGCACGTATTCTGAAGCCGTGGAAGCCAGGCTGGAACGATGCTTAGCATGTTTTAGTCAACGCCGTTTCAGCTCTGGATTAGGCTGAGGACGGAGCGCTTTCACGTTGTGCTGCGAGGATCCGCGACACCGTACGGATACAGTAGCATATACTGAGGTGTGTGATTTTGTGTACTCCCGTTACTGCGTGTGTAGAGAAAGATAGGATGTGTGTTGGGCGATACGGGAGTGAAAGGTACTGGACGTGTCAAAGAAGTTCCCAATTGTGTGTCTTAGGAAAAAGCAGAAGATCTGATTAGAAGAACATGCATTCAACCTAAGTAAATGTCAAAGAGTGGCAGTGTAATCTCTTATGTGCTTGTCTTTTGTAATGTGTTGATAAAAGATGACACCAAAATTCTGAGCATTGTGGTGATGCCCCAGGTCCAGACTTGATGAATATGTCCAGCATAGGTGTGACATTGTGGCAATGATATCCGTGTGTGTTCATCATAAACCAGAGTTGTCAGATGTTGGCTTATGGTCTGGACTGGGACCAATTTCAGCTCACAGAAGGCCAATGTCTTAAGGGATTGGGATGTTGCAAAGGTGATTTCAGACAAAAAATATTCCCAAAACATTTCTCATAAAAATCATATGAAAATTCAGGGCAGTTTAGCCTGGCCTGAGCTTAGTATACAGAAGCATGAGGTCCTGCATATGGATGCTGCATGTTCATCCAGGAAGCAAATGAACTTTTTTGCAGACTAGGTCTGGGATATTACATAATCACCTGCACCTGAAAACCCTAATAACAAGCTATTGTCATGTGGTCTAGCAGAGTTCCCAGCTGAGAATGCTGGTGGAGCTGGGGTGTTTTGTTACTATTCACAGCATACAGCAATCAACAGTTTCTCACATTTGTGTTATTGACATGCTTGCTTGGTGGCACATATATGTGGATGATATATTTCACTTGGAGCAACCTGCTCACAGTTCTCGGTTCACAAGTTTGTGTACTTATTCCAGTTTAGCAAAAATAATGTAGTGTTGAGAAAACAGGCAACATGTTTAAATGAAAAAACACAAGATAAGACTGCGTAATACCAGTCCTGGAGATAAGGAATGTGGTTTCCTTTTCAGCTGGGAGTGCTCCAGCCACTCCCCAACCCCTTAACCCTCCCAATTTGGACTTCAACACTCCTTTCTCCTCCTAATCTTCAGAGGAAAGTGGGCCAAATCTGGTGAATAATCCTCTTGTTAGCACATTTTAGTGGCAGTCTCCACCACTTGTACCTGCTCAATTTTTCCAACTCATTTGTCAAATTATATATATCATTCTCAGCATTGTTTACACTAGTTGTCCTCACAATTTTACAGATGAATGGCTCACACAATATCATATTGTCACATTAGGTGTGAGAGATAAGTTACCTTGTGTCATCCTTATACCAAGCACTAAAATCCCATGGTAATGTCACTCTGCTATATAGGCGGACATTGACCATTGTAAAGTCATATTACATCTAAATGATGGTCAGATGAGTGGGTGTATGGGCTGAAGACAGCAGGAAATTATTGAAAGTTGGTGACCAAAGAGGAAATATGTATTACAGTTGCAACAGCCTTCCGGATTACTGAGCTGCCTAAGGGCATCTCCCAAGTTTATTTTTGTATAGCATTGTGCCATACATGCTATGTGGGGCAATTGTGCTTCCCTTTCCACAGTACCTGCATTGACCTGAATGTAAATGTGATGGGGGGTTTGCTGAGACACAATCCCTTCCAAGCATTGTGGTTTGTCAGGAGCCTGGTGGTCAAAAAAATTGTTCTAATAGTCCCTGACAGCATGCTGCTTGCTCAGAATTGTGTGCTCTCATACCATGCCAAGCATTAAAAAAAACTTCATATGAGAAGCTAAGGGACCACATTTGTGCATTCCAGCTGCTCATAACCCATATGCACAATGACTCTATGAACAAGGCACCAGACCCTGGGCTTGTGGATGCTCCATAGGTGTCTGTGCTCATCTTGGAGGTTGACATTAGGGAATGCTCTGCTGGGATGGATGTCACCACCAAACAGCCGGTACACTGCTGTCGTATCTCCCCCAAACATCTGTGATATGAGGATGTCAGCTGGAGGAGTCAGGGGTATTCCGGGTATGGCAGGCTGTTTAGGTCATCAGGGAACCTCGTTGCACCCTGCTGTACCCGCTCCCCCCCCCCCCCCTCCCCTCCCGGCTCTTGGTACGACGTTCCGAGACGGTCCGACATCATGCTCGCATACTCGAGGGAGGGGCTTGTCAGCAACTTGCAGGGCAGTGGGGGAGTGGACCTATCATTGCTGGCAAAAGAAGGCCTCAGGACACCAACATCTGCGAGGCCTACGGGGCTTTCTGGCTCCTTTGTTCTGTTAGGAAAGCCTGTCAGGCTACTGCGTGTGCGGTTTACTGCATGTTGGCGACGCCAACCGTCAGAGCGATTAACTGATTAAGATACTGTTTGAGCTTTGCTGTTACACATGCACATTGTCTTCTCTGTGGCGACTTCTCTATGGCCTTTCTTTCTTGTCTGTTTTGCTTCTGACAACTGTAAGATATCTTTCTAGGTTCCTGTGATAGCTGTTTCTGTCCTCCCTCATAAAGAGCCGGCGAGATGTGCCCGGGAGGCTCAGTAGTCAGTCGGCGCTCAGATACACGCCACCCCCCTCCTAAAGAGCCGGGGAGATGTGCCCGGGAGATGTGCCCGGGAGGCTCAGTAGTCAGTCGGCGCTCAGATACACGCACCCCCTCCTAAAGAGCCGGGGAGATGTGCCCGGGAGATGTGCCCGGGAGGCTCAGTAGTCAGTCGGCGCTCAGATACACGCCACCCCCCTCCTAAAGAGCCGGGGAGATGTGCCCGGGAGATGTGCCCGGGAGGCTCAGTAGTCAGTCGGCGCTCAGATACACGCACCCCCCTCCTAAAGAGCCGGGGAGATGTGCCCGGGAGATGTGCCCGGGAGGCTCAGTAGTCAGTCGGCGCTCAGATACACGCCACCCCCCTCCTAAAGAGCCGGGGAGATGTGCCCGGTAGATGTGCCCGGGAGGCTCAGTAGTCAGTCGGCGCTCAGATACACGTCGCCTCCCTCCTAAAGAGCCGGAGAGATGTGCCTGGGAGGCTCAGTAGTCAGTCGGCGCTCAGGTACACGCCACCTCCCTCCTAAAGAGCCCCTCGTCGTCGAATGTAATGGGTTTGAATACTTTGACTGTTGAGGATGTGTTGGTGCAAGGTCTTGACGCGTCACGGTCAGGAGTGTTTGTCAGTGACGAATGCAAGGCTTTCGACGATAGTGCGTAGGTCGGCAGCTTGTGGTGTCTCCGACACGCTGACTGCATCACCGCGCCGACAGCCGTCTGCCTTCGGCCGTCTGTCGTCTGCCGTCTGCCGTCTGCCGTCTGCCGTCTGCCGTCTGCCGTCTGCCGTCTGCCGTCCGCCGTCTGCCGTCCGCCGCGAGACCGGGGACTGCCGCGCGGCTCAACTAAGGCCAGCTTCTCCTGCAGCCGCCGGCGACGATGAAGACCAACGCATGCACCGTGTTGTGGACGGAGCTGCTAACGCTGGTGCCGTACCGGCGCCGCCACGTGCCCAAGTACCACAGCTGGATGCAGTCGGCGGAGCTGCAGCAGCTGACGGCCTCGGAGCCGCTGACGCTGCCGCAGGAGTATGCCATGCAGCGCAGCTGGCGGGAGGACGACGGCAAGTGCACGTTCATCGTACTCGACCGCGCCACGTACGAGAGCGCGGCCGACGAGGTGGCGGCCATGATCGGCGACGTGAACCTGTTCCTGGTGGACGGCGAGGACGGCGCCGCCGAGGTGGAGGTGATGATCGCCGAGCAGGGGGCGCGCGGCGCCGGTCGAGGCCGCCAGGCCGCCGCCGCCATGCTCCGCTACGGCCTGGAGACGCTGCGGCTGACACGCTTCCAGGTCAAGATCGGCCTGGAGAACGAGGCGAGCCGGCGCCTGTGCGCGACGCTGGGTTTTCGCCGAGGTCAGCCGCAGCGAGGGTGTTCGGCGAGGTGACGTGTGAGGTTGCGCGGTGACGCCCGACTGGCGCCGGACCGTGGAGCGCATGTTCCCGGCTACCGCGCCGAGACCGTGGCCGACGGAGAGGCGTCAGAACCGGCCGCAGCGGGGGACGAGCCGCTCACTGCACTGCACGGGTCGCCGAACCCACGAGACGAGAGTGGAAGCTGAGCTGCATGTGCCGTGAACGCCTCTGTGGGAGAGATATCACCTGAAAATTTGTGCGCTTTTGCATTGTTTTAACCAATACCTGTTCATGACGATGTGTTTGTGTTCGCTATCCCCGAAACAGGCTAAGCAGTTACGGAAGTTGCGATCGGCACTGGATGCAGTAGCAGTGGCAGCAGCAGGATGGCTTGGTACTTTTCTAATGGTTTAATATGATGCTTTGTTGGTGCTGTCTTACGTTTGCGCAGACGTATTTTGCACAATGTTGTAATACAGATTATCGTATTATTCTCGGATCGGTGGCGTATTTATTCGACATGGCCTGACGGTCGTGCCCCGTCAGCTGTGGTGGGTTTGGTCCATATCTTACCTATCAGAACATATGTCCGGTTGGTTATCTACTACACGACCGCCCATATCCGCACTCTGCGTAACACGGGATCCACATGTTGCGCCGCCCCAGAGGACGCTCCGCTATCAGCACTGTTAGGTGGAGT